CCTCAAGGTCCTCCAAAATTTAGTTTGTTAATCTTTACTTTTGCAAACTTTCGTCCAACAGTAGAATGGTTCTGTGCATGCAAAAGTCAATGGGCTTTCGCTTCAGCCTCCAAAGAAAGCTTCCCATTACATCTGTACCTGCACACCAAGTTCCCCAGCTCTTCTGCCAGCTGTCATGCTACTCGGGGCCGCCCTAGTGTTCCAGCTTTTCCTGACATCATTAAGCAGAGGCACTGCGGGGCTGGAGCCAGCAGGCAGGCAGGCAAGGCCGTGTCCACTCCGCACCCACAACCTGTTATCCTTCCTACACCCGGGCAGCGGGCCGGCTCCCACTGCTCCCCCACGCCCCTCGCTGCAGGTACTCCGTTCACACCAGCCTCCCCGCCCAGAGCTCTGCCAGACCATGTCCTGCCACATTTTCTGTTTTGTCTCCTCTGTCTTTCTTTTGCCCTTGCGTCTTCAGAAGTGACTTTCCAGCCAAGCTTGGCTGTCTGACTCCTCTCGGCCGTGTGAAACCTTTTGCCTCAAACTTCAGTTTCCCCACGGAAAGCAGCATCCATCCCTAACCTCAGAACAAACAGAGAGCCGCTTAGTTTTGACCAGCACCCTCCAGTCCCAGCCTGGCTGTCCTGGCTGCCAGCCCTCTGCGGAGCTGCGTGAGTCCCGTGGCACTGGGGACACGGAAGGGCAGCGGGGCACGACACAGCCGCGTTTTGCAGAGTGGGGCCGCAGGTTTCTCGGCACTTTCACACGGGGTGTCTCTGAACCGGGCAAGCACCATTGGCTTCCGATCCCCTTCGGTTCGGACGATGTGCACAGAGACGCTCGGTGCTTCTCGTGGGGTAGCGCCGAACCACCCAGCACCCTCGCTTTTTGGGGTGCTGAGTTTTCTGGAAGGGGAGGAGCCAAAATGCCGTGAGGTGGAGGGACAGCTTGCTTCACTCCCCATCACCCCACCCCCCACCAAAGAAGGGGAAGATCGCTTGTGTCGCCTCCCGCGCCGTGCAGTGTCTGTGTGCGTGGTGTGCGCAGCACGGCGGAGCGGCGGCGCCGCTTCCCGCGGGGCGCGGAGCGGCAGCCGAGGTGCCCAGGGCTGGCCCCGCTCGGCGGTCCGTCGGGGGCCCTGTCCCCCGCCCGGTGCCACCCCCCGCCCCGCAGCAGATGGCTCGCGGTCCGGGAGGGCGCCCGCCCGCCGGTGAACGCACGGCTGGAGCCGGGCTTTGGGGCCGCCCAGCCCGGAGGGTCCCGTGTGGAGCTCAAGAGCGGCCTTTCCCGGCCGACGGCAATGCTCTTGTTTTTCCCAGATAACTCGGCCCGCCCCTCACGCCTGGAACTCTCCCTCCTTCCCTTCTTCTCCTACTCGTCCATGGCTACTCGAAGGCTGCGGTCGGGAGACGGGGCGCACCGCAGCCTTCCGGCCTCCCGCTGGGGCCTCTCCTCTCACTCCTTCCCGACTGTGGCGTCTCCCTTCTCCCCTCAGCAGGGCCGGGCCTCCCCCACCAGACCCCACTCGCTCCGCGGGGGGGTCGGGTCTCGCTGTCTGCCCGGCCGGCCGCTGGCTGGCAGCGGGAGCCGTCGGTTTTCCGCCGGCTGATTGTAAACGGGTTTGACTGGCCGTTGATCTCGGGGTCAGGGCTCTCCTCGCTAATCCCTCGCTCTCCAAACACCGCCACCCCCCCTCCTCCCCACGCTCTCCCTCCCTTTCTCTCACCCCTCTCCCCTCCTGCCACCCCCGTTTTCCTCTTGCATCATTCATCTGCAGCCTCTCTGACGGCACCGGGGGCACCTCGCTTCCCGGGCCGCCGCTCGCACCCACAAACAACATCCCCCAGGCCCACTGCTCCACGACTCCGGGGGGATTGGCTTAGCAAGGAGGGCCCTTCCTGCAAGATGAGCCCTCTGCACGCTGACACGGACACACGGACACGGGGACACACTGCCGCTGTCCGCCCCCACGGGACTGCCCCGTCCCGGCGCTCCCCACGTGATGCTGAGTGCGGGAGGGAAGGGGAGATCTGGAGATCACTGGGGCGAGCTGACAGAAAGTGTGCTGGAAGGGGGAGGGAGGGGCAGAAAAGGGCTCGGGAGAGTCGGTGAGTGCCCGGGAAAGGCGGGGAAATCGTGGGGCGTGGGAGAGCGTCGGCGCCAGCCCCGGGAGAGCATCCCGTCCAGATAACCCATCAAACCCACAGACACCTGCCAGTTCGCGTCTTTTAGCTCCGTTTTACTTTACAGCAATGCTGAGATCAGCCTTTTGGTTTGGTTTTCGGCGCGGGGGAGCGTGTCTGTGTGATGCTGTGGTGCTTTTTTTTTCTTTTATAGATTTTTCCCCCTTCCGTGGCAGTTTACACGTAATAATAAAATGCTGTAATCGCGTCAGACGTGCAGGTGACCCGGCCTGATGTCGCCTGCATGTGGCGCAGCTGGGAGGGAGGGTCCTCCCCACCCCCCACCCCGCCCTACCAAGGAGCATTTCGCGGAGCTTCTTGTCCCGCTGTGGCCCTACGGGCGCCTTGGGTCTGATTTCTGGAATCGTCCCTCTTTTTATCTTCATGGACAATTTCGTGTGCCCTCCTCCCGGCTCGGAGCCGTCCCACCGGTGCTCCCCCCGGGGCTTGTTGCGATGTGACTCCGGCTGAGGGCGCGGGGGAGTGGAGCTGGAGGGAGCGGCTTTTCCCCGGGGCCCAGCGCCACTCCCACGAGCTCAGTGAGCCACGCACGCTGGAGAGGAAGGAGGGGGGGGGAGGCGAAATGTTTTTTAAAACAGAAAAGCCGTTGGGAAAAGAGCTGTGGAGTTCAGGCCAAGTTTGTGTTTCGGCTCGAAGTTTGGAGCGGATCAAAGCTGTTATCTGTGTGTGCCTCCTGTCCCCCTGCCTCCCGGGGCACAGGGATCCGCGGCAGCGCGGTGACCGCGGCGCTGGGCTCTGGCCCACGGGGGGCCTTGACCCCAAGCTCCCCACGCTACCCGCAGCCTAACTGCAAAGAAGGCACCTCGGCCCCGCTCCCGTTCGCCTCACTCCCTGGATTTTCCTTCCTTTTACTGAAAACGAGATGACTTTTCGCTTTAATTCTTCCACATATGTGATTTTAATAGCTCTGTCAATCATGCTATAGGAGGAACATTTCATACAATTTTAGATGTAATGTACTTAAACCATAAATCGCTTAAACCTATTCTTAGTTTTGCATATTCAATTATTCTCTTATATATAACTCTCATAGCAAAAAGCCCGAAGACATAATTATGTTACTGCACCTAACCCCAACTCATCTGCCTAGGAAAGTTGTTTTGTTTAAATACCCAAGTGTGAAGTTTAACTCAAATTAAATTGAACTGCCAAACCAACCAATAGACCATGAACAGCAAAAAAAATTCTACCCCGATGGTGTCTCAAGGGAATGGGGTGGGTGGATAGTTTTTTGGTTTTTTGGTATTTCGAGGAGATGGGGTTTGAATTTTTTTTTTTTTGGTTGCTCGGATTTTTTTGTTTTCTTTTTCTTTTGTTTCTTTTGTTTGGTTTTGGTTTTTTTTTTTTGTTTTGTTTTGTTTTGTGTTGTTTTTGGCGAAGGTTTGCTTTTTTGTTGTTTTTTTTTTTTTGGGGGGGGGTGGACATTTGCAGAACGAACTTCATTACATTGAAAGGCGGGCTGAGGGTGTTTGAAGCTTATTTGAATATAGCCGACATTGGGTCTCTTTAATCCCCTTGTGTTGAAAGTGCAGGTATTCCTATTATTCTAGGCATAACGCCATTGAGCCGCTAAATTGTGATGGTAGGAGGGAAAACTCATTAAAAGGAGCTAATTTAGAGAGCTATAATTTTTTAAAGCACTTCCCCATAGTATTTCTGCTGTTTGGACACAAATGATCAGATATTTACTTGCTTTTCTCCCTTGACCGCTCCAATCCTGTTCCATCAGTCGTGTTCAGCGATACAGAATCGTCTCGCTGGGATTTTTCTATTCTACATTGTCATTAAATGTGATTCTCAAAAGCTATGACCCTTAAAGAAAAAGGAACGTAACAAGGGTGCATCAGACGTGTATGTGTCTGCATGTGCACACACACACACACTTCTCTTCTGTCACGATGCTATCTATGGTGTGTACAGATATTTGCGAGAATATGCACATGAAGGACAACACGTTTCAAGAAACAATTCAACAGGTACCCAACTTAATCTGCATACCTAAAGGTACAGCTATTTTTAAAATCTCATCTAGGACGGTGGCTGGAGGTGATCAACACCGCAGAAAGTTTCCTACAGGTTCCTGTTTTCTGTATGCACTCTTTGGTCGCTGAGCATTTCCAAAAGTCGTCTGCTGACTGTCTGAACCCTCACACTCCTCCATTTTAATAAAGGCTCGAATAGTTAAGAAAAGGAAAGGGGAAAAAAAACCCCAAAACTTTGGGCTGAAATCAATGGACAGCCTCTATGAAAATTTTGCGTTCAGTATGAGTGATTCATACAAAATTATCGACAGGAGTCCGAAGAGTTATGTATGTCAATTGACATGTCAGCATTATAGAAGTGCAATCGCTAAGATGGACCAAACCCGCTCCTCATTAGCTAACTAAAACTTCCCCACTCCTGGACGGATGCAGTGCTTATTCACCAGAGCTAAAAGACGAACAGTCCTACAGCCTGCTGGGATCGACATTGAACTCCTGAAAGTTAATTATTTTTCCTTTCGTTTAAGCAGTTACGACTACTTTAAAAATTCATTTGCTACAGTAGTTTACAGCAAACTTTTAATTCTAACATATAGAAAAGTATCTCTCAACAGCTAGAAAAAAAAAGAATTTAAATTAGATCTCGAAGCAATAAACAACATTCTGCAATGAAATGACACGCATCGTTTTGCTCGACAGCTTTCGCACCAGTCGCTAAAAACGGGGGGCGGGGGATGGGGAAGGGGGAGAAAGGTGTGACCCCGCCGCTGCCGCTCGCCCCCCGGAATGCTCCGGGCGGACGGGACTGCTTCTAGGGCGTGAGCTTTAGAGGTCGCTTCTCTTTTCGGGGCGCGCAAAAAGAAGCCCTTTCACTTTCCATGGTGTTAGTTAGGGGGAAGCGCCGCGCTGGCCGGTGTCCCCCCGGCTCCCGGGGCCGTGGCTGTCCCCGAGCCGCCGGGAACTCCCGGCCGAGGGGGGGCCCGGCCGAGAGGGGCGGGCAGCGCCCGGTCACCCCCCAGGGGAAAAGTCAAGGCTCCGGCAAGGTCCGGACCACCAGTCCAGCCCTAAAATCCACAAAATGAACGGTCACGGCTAGAAGAGTAACGCAATAAACTGCCTTCCCTTGGAGCAAGGAACGAGTATTAAAATAAATCTACCTTCACCCCTTCTGATTTACACAGGTTAGGGAACATCGACATTTACTGCAGATTGCACTTCATTCTGTTGGCCGCTGCTGCTTAAAACTTCCTTCCCAAAATCTGTTTCCCTGCTGTGTTTCCAGGCTTACCAGGGTAAACACCACTATGTTTGCCAGTTAGCTTTTCTTTTCATACAGGTGACTTTTTCCGCTTTGAAATTTATTTAATCAAAACAGAAAAAAAGAGGACCGCATCCTTAGGATTTCTGTTTAGCAGAAAGGCTTTTTAGTAAACTATATACACAATCTGATTTCCTTCGTGCCGCCTAAATAAAAATTATTTCACAATGCATTTACAAGAAATGATACAAAAAGAAAACAAAAATCAAAGAGAAACAAACAAACAAAAATATCCAGATACAATAAAGTTTTACGAACCCCGGAAAAAAAAATGGAGCTTCCAAAACAAAACAACAACAACAAAAAATTATAAATAAACAAACAAGTAACTAAAAAAAAACCCAACCCGAAAAGCCCTCGAGAATATCTACAAAAACTTTTAAGTGTTCTTTTGGATTTGTCTTAGTACATGAGTAATAAATGAGAACTGTTGCCTCATCAACTTCGAGTTAATTAGTCAATAAAAAAATCTTCGCAAGAAGCGATCCGTGACTGAAATCGTAGCGGTTCCGCGCGGTATAAAAGTTGGCATCACCTACAACTTTGTGTGTTTATTATTGATATTTTTTCTTTTCGCCGCACTTTCCCCCCTTGCTCTCTTTCTCCTCTTTTGCAAATAAACGCTCTATGTCTCTTGGGTGTATGATAAATACTGTACAAAAAGTCTCGATAAAACACAGAAGTTCAGTCTAAAACTAGTTTCATAAACTAGTCCTTCTAAAAAAAAAAAGGTAAGTAAAGCAACCGTTACCTTTTTTCTCTCTCGTTATTATTATTATTATTTATTATTATTATTACAAGAACATCAAAACATTTCTGTACAAAAAGGAAGGAAGAAAAAAAAAAAAGGAGAGAGGCGGGGAGGGCGGGAGGGAAGGGGCGCGAGAGGCAAAAATAAGAGGGGGGAACCTGGGAGCGGGGCAGGAGCGGCGCGGGGCCGGGGCTGAGCGTGCGGCGGCAGCGGCGGGGCGCGCAGTCCTGCAGGCCGGCCCGGGGCCGGGGCGGCGGCCGAGCCGGTGCCCGCGTCCGTGCCTGCTCCGGCGCTCCGGTGCTGGCGGGGCTCAGATATGCGTCAAGGGAACGGTGCCGTTCACCCCCGTGCTGGCGCTCTGGTAGTGCTGGGGCAGGGAGTGGAGCCGGCTCTGGGCGGCAGCGGCCGCCGGATCCCCGCCTTCCCCGGCCGGTAAGTACATGCTGATCATCTCCCGCAGGTCCCCGGGGCACGGGGCCCGCGAGTGAGAGGTGACGGGCGGGCTCACGCTGGGCTCCGACTTCACCAGCGAGCCCAGGGCGCCCAGCGCGCCCGAGGAGGCGGCCGCCGCCGCTGCCGCCGCCGCCGCCGCCGCCGCCGAGTTCTGGTGGGGCTGGGAGCCGTAGGGCAGGGCGCCGTAGCCCGAGGGCGAGGCGCTCATGTAGCCCTGCGAGTTGGAGATGGGGCTGTACTGCAGGGCACCCATGTCGTAGCGGTGCATGGGCTGCGGGTTGTGCGGGTGGTGCGGGTGGTGCGGGTGCGGGTGGTGCGGGTGCCCCCCGCTGCCGGGGTGCTGGCTGTAGGCGAGCTGCGCCTCCTGCATCATCGCCGCCGCCGCCGCCGCCGCCGCCACCGAGCCCGGGTAGGCGCCGTTGGCCCAGCCGTTCATGTGCGCGTAGCCGCCGCTGGCCGTGCCGCCGGGGCTCTCCAGCCGCTGCCCGACGCCGCCCGGGCTGACGCCGACGCCCATGCCCACGCCGACGCCGGCCGGGCCTCCCCCGGCCGAGCCGGCGCTCAGCAGCCCCCCGGCCAGCGAGTACTTGTCCTTCTTGAGCAGGGTCTTGGTCTTCCGCCGGGGCCGGTATTTATAATCCGGGTGCTCCTTCATGTGCAGCGCTCGCAGCCGCTTCGCCTCGTCGATGAACGGTCTCTTCTCGGCCTCCGACATGACTTTCCACTCGGCCCCCAGGCGCTTGCTGATCTCCGAGTTGTGCATTTTGGGGTTCTCCTGGGCCATCTTCCGCCGCTGGCCCCGCGACCACACCATGAAGGCGTTCATAGGTCTCTTGACCCGGTCCTGGTTCGCTTTGTTTCCCCCGCCGCCGCCGCCTCCTCCGCCGCCTCCCGCTCCGGTCTGCCCCGAGAGGTTCGTGGGGGCCTGGGCTCCGCCAGGGGAGTGCAAGTCCGTCTCCATCATCATGCTGTACATTCAAATAGCTTTTTTATTTTCCACCGGTGCCAGACGTGAAAAATGAATCAAACATAGAGGAGCCCGGGAGGCCGGGGAGCGAGCGAGGAGGCGAAACCCGTTTGTATCTAGGCAGCGACCGCCGTGCGAAAAAAAAAAAAAAAAAAAAAAAAAAAAAAAAAAAAAAAAAAAAAAAAGGAGGAGAAGAAAACCGCGAGGAGGAGAGCGATCGGCGACCCTGCCGGCGAAAAACTTTCTCCCTTTCGCAAATCACTTTCGGGGCTCGGCGGCGACGGGGGTTCGAGCTGCTCAAACAGGTGCACGGCAAACTTGCTGCTTCACTTGGCGCGGCGGGAGGAGTGTGCGGAGCCGTCGGCGGTGTCCTCCGCTCGCCGGCGCTCCCCGGCAGACGCGCGCACACCCCTCCGCTCCCGCTCTTATCCTTAACGGAGCTATTTTTTTTTTGTTCTTTGCTGCTAACTTGGAGCCGCACGGAGCCCTGGAGCCGCGGGCCGCCCCGTCCCCGCTGGGCGCGCCCATCGCTGAGCCGACCGTCGGGCAGTACTTATGGGGCTGAGGCGCCCAGGCTGTCCGCCCCGCTGCCGCAGCCGTGCGAGCGGCAGGTGAACGTGCCTTTGCCGCGGGACTTCGTTCTGGAGATTTCTCCGGAGCCCCCTCAGACGTCTCTGCCAGGTGTTAAAACTGCTGCCAGGCCCAGGCATGAGGAAGAGGCTGGACGCAGTCGTTTTTCACTTAGTCCTAGGGGAGGTAAAAGCACCTGCGACTCAAGAAGGCACACGGAAACATGTTATCTTTGTATATAGTAAGTACAGGTGTATGAATTTTTTTTTCTCCTTGAAAACATTAAAAGACTACCTTTGTGCTCTGGCTGTCCTGTGAGATTATAGTTATTTTTATAGGGGGGAGAAAATAGTCCACATGGAAATTCATGCTGCAGGCTTTGATTGCAGCCATAGGAAAGGCAAGTCCGTTGCACAAATGCCCACGCATGTATAAAGGGCCACCCCATCATCTTCTGCCAGGTGAGAAAGGCACGCTCAGCGTGCCTGCTCTTTTCACGGTCCATGTTAATTTTCCTGACCCTAGTGGCCATCCAAGGCTGGGATCACGCTGCAACCCCCCCAATTACTGTTATTACCACCAGAAGTTTTCTGCAGGAGAAGCATGCACTGTGCACAAAGCACCGGTCCTAGGCACTCGGCTAGGATTAGACTTTTTTTTTCTCATTTCCAAAGACTCGTCATGATAATATGGGTTTGCTGGGGGGAGGAGAGTGCCTCTCCACTTCTGACGGCCGAAGGCTCAGCCTGCTTCCAGCCTTTGAGCTTAGTCTGAGTGATGCTGTTAACTCAGTGCCTCCTTTTGGGAGGACATTATTCTCTCCCAGCCAGCCCTAAGGGTGCAGAGAGGGCAGGGGAGACGTTGCAGGAACAGACCCGCGCTTCTCCAGCTGATAGTTTCTTAAGATGCCATATTTGCCATGGCAAAACAAGGGAGGCCCTTGTGATTGCTAGGTTATGTATTAAAAATACAGCTGGTTGGGATAGGAGGGGAGGGAGAGGGAGATATGAGTGGGGGAGAAGGTTACCACAGAAAAGCACATTTCCACTTGGATGGGCAAATGAAGGTATGAGGAGTAAAAACTGCGAGATAAGATGGCATGGCTTGCAAATTATCCACCCAAGGCTGTATGGTATTTTCCCCAGAAATTTGATAGAAAGGCACCTAAAGGCCTCCTTGACAAATAAATGTGTCGAATCGTTGTGGGGCAGTCTTTTCCGGATGAGTCCTATGCATCCTGCCAGGCAGTGGATCCCGTGGGAACACACCCTTATCCCTGGGAATTGGGGATGCACACCAGCTTCCCTCCCCCTCACGTTCAGGGAAACTGTGCCGGAGGCTGAATTTTCCCTTCCCTGGTGCAGAGGCAGCTGCTAATCCACACCCTCCCGGGGCCTGCCCCCTTCTGGACTTTTCCCGCTGTGGGGTTTACCCCCTTTCCCCTGACCCCCGGCAAATAAACACATTCCTTCTCCTAGAAGCAGCCGAACTACCAGGAGCACGGTGGGCAGGCAGGGAGCAGGGAGCGAGGCTGTGCTGCTGCCGTGAGTGCCCCTGGCCCAGGTGCAGCCCAGGTGTCACCTTCGGCCGGGGGGTGTCTGGACTGAAGGGACGGGAGGAAGGTCTAAAAGCCAGTTCGAGGGGGCAGCCAGGGGCTTTTCTTCCCTGGTAAAGGCAGTGCAGATCCCGATTCACGGGACTGGGAACGAGGCCAAGCACTTTGGCGAGTGTCCTTGGACAGGGCTGCGGGGCTGGGGTACAGCAGGCCGGGGCTGCAGCCGGAGATGAGCGGTCCTTGGACTTTCCCCTGCAGAAAGCGGGCTTGCAAAGACCCAGGAGTCGGGTGGTGGAAGGAATAGCTGGGGACGGCCGGGGGTGTGGTGTGTGCTGGGTAAACGCTGCAGGGAAGTCAGAGGGGAGGCGGAGAGGAGGTCGCGCACCGGGAGCAGGACCGGGGCGGGCGAGAGGTCTGGCCGCGGCCCCGCCGTGCCCGCGGAGGGGACAAGTAGCGGCCAGCGCTTCTCCCGGCCACGTCTCCCCCTCAACCTCCGCGCTGCGGGGCTCGGCGGGCCGTGCCGCTCCCGCTCCCGGAGGCCGCCCCCTCGGGGCCGGGGTCTCCCATTTTTTTTTTGTTCTTTGCTGCTAACTTGGAGAGAGAGAGGGAGGGAGGGGAGGGAGCGTGTGTGACTTGCATCCGCTGATCGCAGGTGAACGGAGAAGAAGAGAGGAGAACCCACCGCCACGCGAAAAGGAGGCGGAAAAAAAAAAAAAAACCTTAAATCGCCTGACGGCGGCCAATGGGGGCGCGCCGGCGGGCGCTCATTTGCATATGGCGCGCGCCGAGCGGTGACGTGCGCCGGGGCGCGCCGCGCTCGGTGTGAGGGGTGGGGGGGGGAGGACGGGCGGAGGGGCCGCGTCCCCCGACGGCGCCCCCGAGGCGGGGACACCCCGCAGCCCCGGGCAGCCCCCGCGCGGGGCCGGGCCGGGCGCCCGGAGCAGGCGGCGATCGCCGTCTGCTGGCTGCCGCCGGCCTCCCTTGCCCTCGGCCCGGGTCGAGGCGATGCTGATCCCTCGCCAGCCCTGTCTGAAACGTGAGGCGGGGAGGGAGGGGATCGCTTGCAGCTCCTCTGGCACTTCACTCCGAAACCCACTATCCAGAAAGAAATGCAAAACACTCCCTCGCTACAGGGGTGCCATTACTGGGCCAAAGCGAGCGAACCGGGAGGGAGCAGAAAGGGCAGGCAAAGGAGAGAGAGGAAGCATCTTCCTGCCTCGGTGACTTGGCGACTCGGGGATCACAGCTTTCAACGTGACCTGCTTGCTACCCAGTCGAGATGGAATGGTTGGGAAAAGGGCGCCTGAATAAAGTCCCGCTTTCTTTTGCAGCGTTAACAACTGTTCTGTGCCATCCTACAGCATCAGCCCCAAATCAGCTACAGGCTCTCTCTGTGTTTTGTTGTCTTTTCTCAGCTTGCTGGGTAAAAGCGTATGGAGAATCTCTGGAGCTTTCGAGTAGGGGCTCACCCTGTGAACGGTACTCACACATATAATTCAAATTTCACAGCTGACCTGCTCTGAAAACCTCAATCAGCTTCTAATTGAAGGGAAAACAAAATATTGCTTCCCTACAGCAGAGCTAACGATTTAATCATTATATCAGACATTATAGCTTTTAATTAGGCTAATGCTGATACTGTATGGAAAGAGATAATTCAACACAGTTCTTGATGAATTCTGTAATTGGGTTAACGGAGGAGCAGTTGGGGGAAGAGACGTCAATATTCAAGCTGCGTCTATAGCCACCAGGTTTATGAATGAAAGGGAAGGGAGAAAAAGAAAAGGGGGGGGGGGGGGGAAAGGGCTAAAATTCCCTGACGAGAAATGTCTCCCCCCTTCGCCCAGGAGAGCCGTGCCAACCAACTGGAAGCGTGAGGAGAGTGAGGGCTGTCCGCCTCGGCGCGCCCCGCTCCCAGACAGCCCGGACTGCTGCGGCACCCGCGGGACCCGAGAGGCGGCCCCGCTGCGGGACCTCGCTGCGGGACCTCGCTGCGGGACCTCGCTGCGGCTCCCGCAGCGCCCTGGGCGCGGGTCAGTGGCTCACAGGCCGCTCTCCCTCTGTCTTCACCCCACCCAACGGGTCGCCCACCGCCACGCTGGGAGCACGCGGGTAGGGGGCAGCCAGGGCCACCAACACTGAGACAATCCCGCGGGGGTGCCCCTGGGCAAAGCCGGGAGCACGGCGGGGAAACGCCGGGGGTGGTACGGGACGGGGCCGAAAGGTTTCTGAAGTTCTAATGGGAGCAGGCAGCTGTCCCGCACAGCCGGGCGGGCTGGGCTCGGCTCGGCTCGGCTCGGCTCGGGAGCCGCCCGCCCTGCGGGGCCGGGTGCTGGGCAGGAGGCGCGACACGGAGCACGAGGGCGTGCTCAGGGCCAGCCCGCTCCGGGCAAAATCAAAGCGGCCGGAGGGCAGGCTGCCGCTCCCTGTGGGTACTGCCATTTATTTATGTATTTATTGTGCCAGATAAAAGGGCGGCTGAAGCCACTTTTCTAAAGGAATTCTGCATCACCGCTCTCTCCACAGTGTCGATAAATTGCGCCTTCCCGAAGAGTTTGTATATCCCAGCCTTTCTATTTTTTCTCCTTCCTTTCTAGTTTTCACTGGCTTTGAAAATAAGCTTTATATTTCTGTTGCTCCTAAAAGAAGTAGTATCGATCTCCCGCACGTCTGATCTCCGCAGCAGCCGCCGGCCGCCCCACGGCGACAGCGGGTCCCGGCGGGCGGGTGTGCCGGGGGTGTCCGGCACTGCCAAGGGACGGTCACACCGCGCCTAAACAGAGATTGTCTTCCCCCCTCCTTTTCCCGTCAGGACATCCTGCGTGTCCCCTCGCCTTGGAACGGCCCCGATCCTTCCCGCGGTGGGACTTTCCAGTCGGTAGAAAAACCAGAACCGTCTCTTTACGAAGTTTTGCCAGCAGGAGCATTTTCTAAAATGTTTGTGCTACGCATCAGCTCGACTTCCAGCACAATATTGTTCCGAAAGACGAATATCCT